CTTCAAAAAAAGAATTCTTAGAACTAACATTTTTTAAATATTTTTTATGTGTATACTGTATGTTGTCGCCAATAAAGTCTGCTTGGCGAGATTTGCGCCGGCGAAACGGAAAAGTACCCAGTATTTTTTTTTCCAAGTTACTTGCGTACAGCTTAAAGCATTTTACGTTGAAACAAATACCTGTCCTTTTTCATAATATATTTCATATTGTGAAATATATTATGAAATGATGACCTTCATACAGTAATCAAATTTTCTTCAGTAGCATTGTTAATAAAACTAGAACTTTATACATTTTAAAATTATTATAGGGGTTGGAAACCTCATGGTTCTGCGTGCTTACAGCAGTTAATAATTAAGAACATAACTGAACAGCCATGTTACAAATTAGCATTCAACCCTCCCTCCATATTTTCTTCCTTTGATCCCGAACTGACGAGCCGAGAACCGGCATCTTTAGACGAAAACTTCTTTAATTATGCGAAAATATTTCTATCTATTCGTTGTTAAAAAATTCAGAAAAAATAATAATAAATAAGAGAAGAATATAAATCTCCAAATGCGAACAACGACAACCTTCGCAAAAGCGAATAGGATGAAGTTGCTAGGTTACCAGGTTTGAACTATTATCGCCAAAGTTGGCGATGTTTACATTTACCGGGTTTTCTGCGGAAGTGCTTCCTGAAATTTACAGCGGTGGCAAAATGCAATGAAGTTTCCTCAGGAAAACAAAATTTTGATGCAAAACCTCTAAAGAGAGGAATGAGGAGATATGTCTGGCAGACAGCTGTTGCTATCGACATCTATGCAATACTGAAACTCTGGGATGGTTTAATCCTAGTATCCGGTGCACACGGGATTTGGCTACTTTTGGCGACGTTATGATGAGCAGTAAAAACCGGACATTGCGATGAGTAGTTAACGGGTCATTCAAAGAAAATATATAGTTAAACATAGCATATACTATGTATATAGTATATATACTATGTTATATACACACATAGTATATAGTGTATAGTATATATATAGACGTTCTTTGGATCATTTTTGGTGTTGGCGATAATTTTCAAAGTCGCGCCAAGGCTGCACCGTATACTAGGATTTTACCCTCTGGAATTCTCTGATGTTTTTTTAAATGCAAATGGATTGCTAAGCACTTGAGAAGAATAGCACAAAAAATTACAGAAAGATTTGGAGAAAAATGCGTGGTGTTTTTATTTGTGCAAAATCGCCCACTGCTTGCCATGTTTTTAAGAATTGCACATACACGGTATCCATGTACACGCTGACCTATTTTCACTTAAAAAAACGGTAAAATCCTAGTATACGTTGCAGCCTTGGTGCAGTTTTGAAAATTATCGCCAACACCAAAAATGACCCAAAGAACGTCTATGTATATACTATACACCATATACATAGTATATACTATGTATAACTATATATATTCTTTGGATGATCCGTTTACTACTCATCGTGTATGTCCCGTTTTTATTGCTCATCAGAAAAATCGCCAAAAGTAGCCAAGTCCCGTGTGCACCGGATACTAGGATTAAACCTAAAAAAACATCCCAGAATTGCACAAAAATAGCATTGCGCACACTCTTGACTTTATCCATGTACACTGCTAAAGTCCTAGCTAGTAACCTTTATCGCCTTACCAAAATGTCGCCAAACTACCTGTTACCATATTCCAAAGATCAACCCAAAGATTAGCCAAATTTGCATTTTAAATTACTAAGGTGTGTTACATGGGTATCTAAAAAAAGTTGCGAAAACCACCAACTTACACTAGATAAATAACTTTATCTTTTCATCTATTAAAAATTGCCAAAATGTGCCCAAGGTGACATTAATGCATAAGCACCAAATTGAATACCATAATTAAAATAAAATGAAACTAAGCAGTAGCAACTTCTGTTTCACTGCATTCAACTTGATCTGAAGAATTAGAAATAAAAATTAACTGTTCCTGTTGCATAGGCAGCTGGGAATTTTCAAGGTTTTGTATAATAACTGGCAAAGAATCTGTTTGTACAACACTATACTCATGATCAACAGCAGAGTTTTGGTCTCCTACATTAGGTATAATATAATACTGACTTCCAATATCTCCATTACAGATATTTGAGCTGTAACACTGAAAAACTTCACCTGTTGGCAAAATAACTTCCTGTACCTGCAAATTAGAACTGTCTATAGTAACAGGAAAATTATTTTTTCCCATATTTTCAGTTTTGTCCGATATATGTTCATTCTGTAAACTGCAGTCATTTTGAAGAGTCTGAGTAATGTGATCAGATGGAACATTTTCAGGTATAGCTTCATTATTTTTAATATTATTGTCATTATTAAGTTTTTTTATGGCATCACTTGTTTCTTGCTGCTCGGGCTGTTCATTAAGAACATTAGCAGCTGATGGCACAGATAGAACAGCTTCACAAGTTTCTGTTTCACAGTTACCTCCTTCACTATTGTCTTTAGCTTCATCTTCTGAATCATTTTCATCAAAATCGAAATCAGATGAGCTATCTTCATCATCAGGATTTGTACTATTATCGTTTTTCTTCTGAAACTTAAGCTCAGGATGCTTTTTCATAAATCGTTTAACTGTACCTAAGCAAGGAAGTTTAAAAAAATCTGCTTTTTTAAAATATTCATATGCATATGGGGCTTTCTTACACCATATAGCGCACTGAGACAAAGTGGAATCCGACCATCGCATTTTTGATTTGCCAGAATAGCCACGTATTTGCTCTAAAATATATGTTGCAGATGGATCTCCTTTACTAGCGCTTTTTCGTATAGTTTTTAGTCTTTTCATGAAAGAATAAGATAACTGCCTTTCCTGTACTATGCATCGATCTTCTAATTCTTCAATTTTTTTGGTTAAAGAGGTTATTTTGTATTTTAAAGACGCTATCTGTCTTGATTTTTGCTTCAATTGTGATAAATATTTTGGTTTATCCATGAAACAATGACTCAAGGGAACATTTGTTGTCATTAATACAGGGGCTTTTGCAATACATGTTGAATAATTGTCAGTCATACTGGCATCTGCACTTTTATTATATGCATCAGAGTTTTTTTCACCACTTTCATTTAAAACAATACTACCTGCAGACTCTTCTTTGTTTGTTTTACTTTCTATTATCTGGATATCTTCGTCTTCCATTATTTTAAGATCAGCACAAGATTCTTTACATATATGTGTGTCAACTAAATGACCCAAGACATGCTGAACAGTAGGTGCTTTTTCTGAAGGTTCTTTTTGGATTTTTTCAGTTGGACTTTGAATGTTTGTTACTGAATATGAAGGTACTGATGTTTTTGAAGCTTGTTCATTCTGCTGCAGCGATGGGTTTTGAATACCTTCAATAAGTTGTGGAAGATAATCACTCGGCTTACCGGTTGCTAATTTCTGGTCCATTGTAAACTGCAGTACAGTATTTCCAGAAGGAGTTTGCTTTTTATTTACTTTAATGATGTCGGGATTGATTTTAAGAAATGTATTAGGTCCTATTTCAATGAGATCACTTCCACCATATTTTTCTCTTCTTCGAGGTCTTTTAGGCAATATTTTTACATTATGTTTTGCATCATACAACCGCTTATCCCCAATGTTTGTTCTTGCAGACTGATCACATTTAATCCCCATAGCTGAGTTATTCTTGTTCACGGAAGTTTCACATGAAGTTATCTGTTTTGTAAATGAAGTATTATGGCACACATTTTGTTTTGAATTATTGAAAACTGATATAACATGTTTAGAACAGCTTGTGGCGTTCTGATTAATTTTCTGAAAATTATCTGCGTTATTGTACAGATTAGCTATACGTGTATCATTCAAATTTGTCTGTATATTCTCTACAGGTTTGTTTACTTTAACAATTAATGGAGACTTTTGAACTGAACTACTGTGATCTTCAGCTCCTGCATTCGGCCCAAAGTATTTGAAACCGAAAACAGTTGGAATACATCGTGGTTTAAGAGCATCAGAATCAGGTTTGAAATCCGTCTGAAGAAAATGCTTACTACATATCACAGCATTTGCGCGAGGAAACCACATAGGTTTTGCTTTAACAGCATTATTTATTTGTTTGATCCATTTCGCAGCGAAATTCGGATCAGACGGAAATTCATGAAACGTGACTGACGAATCAAGGTTCCAGCTGTCACTTCGGCACTGTGGTACACAACAGATCACCATTTTAAACACTACGGCGGAAGACTTTACCCAAAACAGCGACACACGTAGTTCAGTTAATGAAATCTAGGTGGGTCTCATCTAAAGTGCTCAATTTCTTCAGAGCGTAAATCCTAGGAAAACAATAGAAATAGTTCTCAGATATTAAGAAATTAACATTCGGTTAACAATACCTAATTTGATTCAATAAAGAAATTCAAACCATATCAAAACGCTTTATCATAGAAAATTCAACACTAGAGGGCGATATACACATAACAAGACGAATACATCTCCAAGATGTCAGAGGTATAAACTTTTTCTCATGATAATTGATAATAAATTTTAAGTATTTGTAGCCAATGGTTATGAACCATAGAAGAGGACAAATTTGTCCAACGTGATTACTGTGTTTGGTTAAATGACGTAATTAATGCTTCTTGAACATACCTCTAAGTTTATAACAGTAAATCTACCTAGAATTAAAATTTGAAATTGAAAGAAAAAAAATGAAAAATTAAATCAGTATGTTCAATAATTAGTCAAGCAACAGTAAATTATCTGAAACGATCAACAAGAAATTTTTAACTTAGTTGTGGCATTTGATAAAGTTTGTCAGCTACTTATTTGTGAATATTATATATAAATTTGTTGCTGTAGCATTTATTTTCGCACACTAAATATTTGGAAGCAGTAATTATGCTTCAGTAATATCCCACAGCAAATCACAAAAAAGGAGTGTGCGTGTGTGGGGGGAATGCAAAAGTAGAAATGAAAGATATTACTTAATGTTTGGCATCAACTATAGATAAGCTTACGATCTTAATGGACTTCGCCATATTCTCAATTGGGGGTAAGACATTTAGTGAAATGTGGAAGTGATAGCTAGTGGTAACAAAAAAATCATTGTTTTTCTGGAAAATTTTGAGGTGACTAGGTGCATTTGAAATATTAGGTGTGTGTACTGGTAATATAGTGTTTTTGAGATGCCACTTCAGAAAAAAAGAAAAAATATCATATTTATTAAACAGTTCCGGTTATTTAGTGAAAATGTTTAGTTGTGGTTAAAAGCCCGATTTGTTTACATCTGAAATAGTTTCTGATGTAAGTAAGAATTTTCATTACATAACTATTGTTCAAAGTTATTATTTCTGACATAAAGCAACTAAATTTTATTTATAAATGAAATTAATATTTTATTTATTTTAGGCATTGTTGTTATATTTTGTCTTACTATCCAGACATAGTACATCTTGTTAATATTTATGATTAAGTTAATCTGAATTAAATATGAGTGTAGTAAATGATTTACAATTTTTCTCGCTAATATATTTTTTTTAAGAACGTAGCTTTTGTATCCAGCATAGTTTGTAATAGTGTTTCTGTGCTTGAGTAGTAATTTTGCTAACAGCCGCAACTGTTAACAATTTTTAACCCCTGTTATAATATAAAGTCGAATAAAATGTAATTTATTTGGATGTGTTAAGTAATTTCACGGGTGCATTTTTATATCTGATGCTGCAATTTATGCCTTGTTATCAAGAAAGAAGCTACAGTGTTTACTCATTTAAATCAGAGTGATTCCTTTAAATATGTATTTAAATTGGCATTCTATGTTAACTATAACAGTATAAAATGTATCTTGTAATAAATAGTCAATGATTACTAAACAGTCTGATGGAATTTTTTTAGTATATTGATTATCTTATTAATGAAAAATCTAGGAATCAGCTGTGAAATAATGTAATCAAGAACTAAGAAAAATAACATCTTTAAATATGACTTTAAATGAAACAAGTTCTTTGAAATTTTATTTTTCATATGAAATAATGAAAAACAGTGAAGGGGCAGAAATTTTGAAATATTTGTTAAAACAGTTTAAGAGCTGATTGGTCATTTCATTACTCATCTAATTATTTTTATAATTTTATAATTTTAAATTTTGATAAAAAGGGCAGTTGTTTAATGAAAAAAAAATGAATTAATTCCTGACAATACTGTTTGTAGAAAAAAGCTATCTAAATTTAGTAATTAATTGTTTCTGATTTTAAGTTCCATAAATATAGTGTTTTACTGTGGCCAATATCATATATTCGATTATTTCAATGTGTTTAGCATGTTGATTCAAAGTCTATTTAAATATTTCTGCTGTCATTAAAAAAGTTAAATAAGAAAGGAAATTTGGTAAATTTCAGTTAATTATGTGGAGTAAAATCTGGAATTTTTGGTAATGTGGAAATGTATAGTGATATGGTGAGTTGTTATAGAATTTTATCAGTGTTTTGTAAATTGAATTGACATTAAAATCTGACACTAAAATATTTATGCTTCTTGAATACTTTTATAAAAATTTCTTAAAGTACAATTTTTCAGATGTTTAATATTCATGTACGAAATTAACAGAATTGTGTCTGATAATAAAGTGCAGGCAGTAAGAAACACTTAAATGCTGTTTTTAAGAAATTTTATTCACATATGTAAAAATTATAAAGATGTAAATTTTTCTTTTTTTTCCCCCTTCATATCTGTATTTATATGTACATATAACTAAATATAACTTTCATTTATTTTGCTAGGAAAATTGTATTAACATCATCAAAACATCTATACAAAATATTCATCTTCAAAACTGTAATTTTTGTGTTTTAAAATAAAATAAATAGATTAGTTAATGAATTAAATATCTGAAGTTTTGTTCAGTAAACCCTTGCCAAATGCAGAGTTAAACCAATAATACGATATGGCAAAATTGTGTTCTGCAAAGTTAGCTTCCTACAGAAAAGTGCTTTAGGTGTAATTCAGATTTAGAAAGTATATATAATTTAAACAAACATAAATACCATTGTAAATAAAAAAAGGTAAAAGGGAACAGATGTTAATTGGAAGGACTTTTGTTACTGTTTAATGATTACATGATAAAAATATTTTTTTTAAAAAAGCTGGGACAATGAAACTCGCTCATTAACCCTTAGCCTGTTGAGTTATTTTGTGCGAATCCCTTTAAAACTGTCACTAGTTTTGGACTGAACTTCTCGTAAAATGTCCGGAAAATAACTATAAACCTGTGAAAGTTGTCAGGCAGTTCTTTTGTTATTTCCCATCCCTAACAGAAGTTTACTTCAGTGATTCCGCTAAATGAGATTGATTACTAGATATTATTCCATAGATGTTAGCTGTCTAGAGATTAGCCTATCCCTGATGGCCGTCTCAATGCTGCAGGGTACAGCTGCAAAACACTTCCCTAAAACAATCTTATTTTCAAATAAATTGGTTTAAAAATTTACCTGGTTAAATTTATAATTATTATACATTTTTAACCTAAATCTGTATGTTACTGATCATTGTCTGAATTTTAATGCAGACTGATTAAAATGCTCTCACTAAAATCTATTCTGACAAATATCTGGTCCAACATTCATTCCTTATGAGATATGCTGAAACATTTCGTATTATTTCAGATTTTCTGTATTTTTGTCATTAATTAAAAATTTTTAAAACTTTCAACATTTTCCCATATTCTTCAACTGCATGCAAATAATAATTATTTAAATAATTTCTTTTTGCCTTAATTATTACTTAATTTTAAGAGTAATAAACGAAACATTTGGGTGCTATTTAAGAACTGAGATGGTAATAATATCAATATTAAATTTGTATTTTACTTTTTTATATACATTTAAGATATTCAAAAAGGGAATTGTGTCCTGAAACTGTTTTCATTGCATCATAAATTTGTTGACTCTTTTTAAAAATTCTTGCTTTCCTGTCCAAGAAACACTAATAAACTTTATCTGAAATAGGAAAAAATGAGACATACTGATAACAAACAAAGCAAGTTGTCACTCATTAGCTTGCAATATAATTTGTTCAGTATGGTATTTTTGTAAAGAAAGAGTGTTGCTGTACATTTTGTAAAGAATAAATCAGCATTGCATTTAATAATTATATAACAGTTATTAATTATTTAATAATTAATTATAAGAATATGAATAATTAAATATTTTTTGGGAATATATTTTCCTGCAATATTTTTTTTCCTAGAGATCCCAGCATTCATATTTTGAAGCATTATGTTCTAAATAAATGTCTTGTTTGAATGCAGCATTAATTTTTGACACCAAATCTCTAATCAAAGGAAATACCTTACTGAGGAGGATATTCAAACCAAAATTTTTATTAGAATAAATATTTTCATTATTTTTAATACTACTAATACAGGGTTCATATGATCGTTAACACATTGAGTGCCATGTCGGCCATCTGTGGCTGACACTAGACTTTCCATTTAGACCACATCAGCCATCTGTGGCTGACACTAGACTTTCCATTTATGCCACTTCAGCCATCTGTGGCTGACACTAGACTTTCCGTTTAGGCCGCGTCAGCCATCTGTGGCTGACACTAGACTTTCCGTTTAGGCTGGCTGACAGCGTGTAACATGATTTATAACTATACAATTTACACTGTTTTATGGAATTACAGAAAAATTATTTAAAATTTACCATATATACCTGTGTATAAGTCGAGATATTTTGGACAAAAAAAAGACTTGAAGGTGGGGGGGGGTCGACTTATACGCGGGGCCATAAAAAATTAAAAGAATCGGAAGTTCAAAAATTTCTTTATATAATGCAGTTCTTTTCTTCCCGCACTCAAATTGGACGACTTATCAAATAAGTCACTTAGTTGAAGTAATTTCATGACTTAAATTATGTGACGAACTAATCACAGAATTTCATACTTTAACTAGAGTAAGTTTCGATTAAACCAAAGAATTTTCGGCCCCCAAACAACCGATCAGTATCGAACAATGAAAAAGTTTCGCCAACGCGCCAAGAAAAGAGAAATGCAGATAGTTTTTGCGTATGGATAAGTCTTTATAATAGTTATTGTTCATTTATGAAATACTTTTGTTAACAGGCGTACACGTCAAAATGAAAAAAAATAGCCCACGCAATAACTGAACAGTTTTGAATATTTCTTTTAACTTTAAAAAAGGGAAAGTGTAGATAGATTTTACGTATGCGAATCTTTTCCAGAACAAATTCTAGAAGGTTACTATATAAAAACCCATTTTACGGTCGTTCTTTCGTGCTTAGCTGACAGCAGTAAGCTTTGTCCGTTGATCATTTTTAAAAGTAAAACTTTACCGAAAAACGTTGTGTTTCCATCAGGTGTGCTGGTTCGCGCCCATGAAAAGGGATGGATGGATGCTGACAGAACAGTCGATTGGCTTAAAAATGTGTGGGATAAAAGACCGGGAGCAGCTTTAAAAAAACCTTCTCTTATAGTATACGATTCTTTTCGTGGACACTTTTCAGAAGAAGTGACAAAAGTGACAAAACACCTAAAAACAACTGTGGCCGTAATTCCGGGAGGATCGACATCCGTCATTCAACCCCTAGATGTCTGCCTCAATAAGCCTTTCAAAGTAAATGTTAGAAAATATTGGGCAGAGTGGATTAGTTCCGGTCGACCAACATTTACAAAGGGAGGCAACATTAAAAAGCCCGATATTACATTAATTGCTCAATGGATTAAAGATGCTTGGAACGAAATACCCTCTGAAATGATTATAAAATCATTTAAAAAATGTTGTATTAGCAACGAACTAGACAGCACAGAAGATGATGCTGTTTTTGAAAGTGAAAATGACGACGAAAGCTCTAGTAGTGATTGTAACAATACAGAGTTCGAGACTGAAAATATGTATGATGACGAGCCAATGACGACAGAAGAGTTCTATGAAATGTGTGGCGAATCTGACCATGAATCGGACGTTGAAGGATTTTAATTTTGTTTATTTACCAAGGTATTTTTTGATCGTATATTTATTTTTTTTCTCAGATGATTTTGAATAAATGCAGTACTTAAAAAAATTTTTCGAAGTTTCTCGATCGATTTCGGAAGTGGGGAGTCGACTTATGTGCGGGTTTCTTATTTTCTACGAATTTTTTCTGTTGAAAGGGTATATACGGGGTCGACTTGTACGCGGTATCGACTTATACGCGGGTATATACGGTACTTAATTTTGATTCATTGCAGGACTAATAGATTTCATTGAAACACGGTAAGCATAAAAACGATTTTCCATTACAGCTATT